CTGACCTGGGCTGCCTCAGTGTTGCTTGTATGAGTTGGGTCTGCTTGTCTGCAGCCCGTGTTTTGCAAAATGTTTGCATAGAAGAAGCTAAACTCTTTCCACATTGCCAGTTAAGCAAATGAGAACTGGTTGTTAATTTTTCCTTTTCGGTTCTAGCTTTTGATCTCCAAATAATAAAAATCCTTGTTAAAGCATCTGGGTACTTGAACTAGTGCCAGTACATCTGCCATCCGTCTCTTCTTTCTTCTGCAGGGTCTGCTTTCTAGGAGTGTTTGCCCTGATTGTTAGCTGGGGATCCTTGGGCTTGGAGCTGGCTGTTGCTGTGGTAAGTAAGTGGTGCTCTGATCCAGATTTCATGCACCCTTTTCTGCAGATATACCAGATATGGGAATAAGTACATGCTATGCTGTGCCTTCTTATAAGGTGTTTTAAGTAGCTGTCATGACAAAGTACACATGGAATAGATAAGATAGTCTCTTTACATGGTGGAGTTTCCTAGCAGTCTGCCTACTCTGCTCTGTTCCAAGGCTTGGTGATAGACCTATAGGAAGTGTTCCCAGAGGGTTGTTCGTATGCTAGACTTCTGCAGTCTGCATTATGGGCAACCCACCCCCCCACCTTGGGAGCCTAGAACCCAGGATTCTCTCATGCAGCCCAGCAGCATCTTCCCTGTAGCTCCAGTGTGTTTTAATTGATTCTCTTTGACTTCACTGTTCCTCTGTAGGGCTCCAGTGACTTCTGTGTGAATCCAGATGTCTATGTCTCCAAAGTGGTAGAAGATCATGCAGTGCTTAGTACTGGTAAGTGCTGTTGTTGGGACTGGCTTGAAGACATGCTGAGCTGTAGGAGTGGCTGGGCTGACAGGTAGAGTTTGATTTGAAACCCGAAGCTGAGTTTGGAAACTAGAAATGGCAATAAAATGAGTAAAGCAGACATGTTCAAAGGTCGGGAGAGCCAAAATACTAGAGAATGTTTTCCCCCAAAGGACTTTCTAATAGAAACGTAGTTTCAGCTCTTCTTTCTGGGAATTGGTTTTCTTTTACCTCTGTATGGCAATAGCTTGTAAGGGGGGTGGAGGCAGTAGAAATCCAGGAATGCAGGTATTCATGAAGTCGGTGTTTCTTCAAACTGCTCTTAGCCAACTTACTTTCTGGACTCCAAGATTTATTTTTTTAAATGAAGATTCTTGTTCTTCTGGTTGTGAATGGAAATAGGACTCTTCTACCCCCCCAGTTAAGCAACTAAATGGACTGAAACAGTCCATATTAATTTCCCCATTCCTCAGATTGATGCATTTAATCTTTATCCCTTTTGTTCATCACCTTAGTACTGCCACTTGTATCAGAATAATTCCAAACAGTCTGCTTTATTCTGCAGTGGGGCTATTCGATTTATCTAAAAGGGTTTTCCTGAGAAATAAGGCTGCATCAAACATGGAAATGGCTGCCTTTCCAATATTTTAATCATTTGGTTTCTTAAATCTTAGTTTGGGCAAAAGTGGTGTTAAAAGGTGTTGCATCCAGAACTCTATAGGGTAACAAATATTCTTATACAGCTTTTCCTACATAATTCTCATCTGCCTTTAAAATACAAAGGCATGGCTAAGTAGAATAGAAAACAAAGATTAAAATCGGTTTTGCCCTTCTCAGGCATTCCCCCAATCCTGCAGTCAGTCCTTCTTGACATTACACTATTAGCTACTGAAATAGGTTTTCCTGACTTCAGGTCATTGCATAAATCTGTGCATGTGTGTGGTTTTTTGTTTAAACCCTGTTGCCGTGGGAAGTCTGAACTCTTTTCTATATTATGTTTAATAGCAGAACATCTGAGCTTGCTCCTTTATGAGGCAGTCCATAAGCCTCTTGTCCAAATCATGTACTGACTAACTGTTCTGGGACTGTTAGTCCTCAGCTTAGATTTAAGAATAAGGTGAAATGAGTGGCATCTCCTGCCTGGGACTGAATAGGGAAAAGTCCTCATTGTATACCTGCCACTCAATGAAGGCTCAGTACCCAGTAGAGGAACAGTATTAAGAACCTCCGCTGCCGACTGTTCAGTTGGCAGGTGGCTTTCATTGGAATCTGAAGAAGTAGGTTATTTTAAGAGCTAACTGACATTGTTGGTAAAGCAGCATAAAATGAAGTCTTTTTTTTTTTTTTTCCACCTGTAATATCTTATTTTCTATGTTATGAGCAAGCACAACTTTGGGAGAGCCTATGGTGTGCATTGCAAAGAGAGCTGTTTGGAACTAGGGCTGCTCTGGTTCTTATTTGCTGGACTATTAATGATTCTTTTAAAGATCTAAATGCCAACTTTGTCTCTTGGTGCTTTATATTGCTATTGTCCAGTCTTGGCTGCCTGCTTTGAAGCTGATAGGGAATCAGAAACAATGCTGTAGCAGGATATGCAGAGACCTGAGGCAAAAATGTTTGCGTGAAAGTATGAAGAATGGAGTGTTGAGCAGTATTTATGGGTTAATATTCCTACCTGCAGGCTTATTGTTGGAAAGCCTTGCGTATCGGCTTCCTGAAAAGGAGGGGAGGGAGTCCAGCAGCTTCGCATATAGATGCCTTTTGTTGTAAAGAGATGTGATGGTGATTTAGGCCTGGGCAAGATGAGAATTTTCCCTCTCTTGGAGATGACCAGAATTTGACTTGGGACACCAGCAGATGCTCTTTGTTTTCACTGAAAAAGGAAATAAGTGAATGGGGTTGAGAGCAGAGGGGGATTTCTTCCTGACTGACCACTGATGTTAGCTGCATGTAATTACAGCTCAGTACCTTGAGCCAGATCAATAGTGTGTTGGCAGTGATGAAAGGTAACCCTGAAAAACCAGAGGAGCTGTCTTTTCCCAAGGCACGTGCAATACATTGCTTGATTTGGGGCTTGTTTTACCTAAGCATTGCTTGGAAGATAAATGGCGACTCCAACTCCTGCATAAAGTTTCCTGTTCTCTTGCTCATCTGCTGAGATGAGAGCACTTCAGAGATGAGGCTGTGCCTATTGGCACAGTGGTAGCCACTGTCTTAGGTGTGATGCCCTGTAAAGACCAAATCTAGCTCTGCGCAGGAGGAACTGCAGGCTTGGGTATGAGGCTGAGATTAAAGGGTGGGCCATGCTCTTCTAGGTCAGTAGGAGATCTGATCATTCCCATAAGAGGTGGATGTGAGACCTGATTTAACTGCTGCAAGTTAGTAGTCTTTTATGAGGTTACCATTATAATATTATATCCCATTTCTTGGGGGGGGGGGGTAACTGGGTTAGCAGATCTTTGCCTTACTGTTTAATGCATCAAGCTCCTGAGCTGGAAGTAGATTTATGATATGAGGGAGCCAGTACTGGCTTTGCAGGGCCCATTATAAAAGTAGTAACAGAAGGTGGTGGAGGGAGGCGGGGGACCATCAGCTCAAAGCTGGAGTCTAGTCATTTAGTGTCTTTTTTTTTTTTCTTCCCCTGTAATAATTTTCTTAGAAAAATATAAACACTGCAGCCAACAAGACATTTTTAAATAAACACAACTGTTATTACCACCAATGTTCAGCAAAAGGAATGCAAACATGTCTCTGCTTTTCAGTTCTGTGGGTATTATTTTTTCCCTGTTCGAGAATTTTTTTGACAGTTGTGGCAGGGGTAGAATAATAGGTGCGTGTTAGATTTGTGCTGTATGGAACAATTCCTGGAGTGCCACATAAAGGCACAACTTCAATAATGCCTCCAAGGACATCAGCCCCTTTAGGTAGATGAAGTCAGTCTTTCATCAAATGCCATGAAAATGAATGGTGTTTTAAGAACAGGGCTGTGCAATTTCTGGGAGGCCCTGTGGAGACCCCAGCTGGCATTGCTCCATGAGCAATGGGCAGAGTGGTGACTAAGTAGCAGACCTGGGCTGGATATTTTAATCCCTCATGGGCCGTGTGTGGCCTGTGGCTGCTAGTTGGATAGTTCTGCTCTAAGAATACAATTTTTCAGATGGTTGAAATGCCTCTTGTATGCTACGTATTCAGAACAGGGGACGGGTATAGGCAAATGTTGCTTTAATGGGAAAAAATTTCACATCCACAACATGGGGAGGAATTTTATCAATTTTTATACTAAATGTAAGGGCAAAGACAACCCCTGCCCGGAGTGCCTTGTCTACTTATTCAGGTGACTTACTATGTACTGCTGCTAATGATGGTAGGAAAATCTGCACCTCCCCTCCCCCAAAAGAAAGGCAACTTTAGTTGATCATATTCTTTCTCTACTTTCTCTGCCTATTTACTTTCTCCATTCAGAGTTGAAAGAAGTTTTGGATCCCAGTGGGTTTTTATCAGCCTTACAAGTTTGAATCCTCGTGTTGCCCTAGAAACATCCCATCTCTTTGACTGATGGCTAGAAGAGGCTTCTTTCTGAGTGTAGTACTACACCTAAATTAGTATCTCGGTAATGCAAGGACACCCAGCTTTCCTGCCAGTCAAGGGCTTTGGATGTTGCAGCATAGTGCTTCTAGTTGTGCTGGTCTGACAGTGAAACCGTGTCTGCATGACCTGGGTTCGTGCCCCTGATGCAACAGTTTTGTGTGTAGCTTATGGGTGGTTTCTAGGAGAAAGGGAAAGAAAGTTGGGTAGCAAGAATAGAAATCCCTTTTTCATTGGCTTTCTATTATTTTAATCACTGTTTTCAGACCCAAGCAGAGCTAATAGCTTTGGGGAATAATCTGATTAAATGTATGATTATCATCATGACGACTTAGCTAGGGAGGAGGAGACCTTCTGTTCTTGTACTATGGCTATGCTGTGGGAAGAAAAATCAAGATTCAGAATGCTTTCATACAAAGTTTGTGGAGGAGGAGAGTGACTTGTAAATGATTTTGGGAAAGGAAGGGGGGGGGGGGGG